AAAAAAAAAAAAAAAAAAAAAAAAAAAAAAAAAAAAAAAAAAAAAAAAAAAAAAAAAAAAAAAAAAAAAAAAAAAAAAAAAAAAAAAAAAAAACTCCCCCATGTCACTCAGTGGTGGTAGAAGTTGCGCAGGCACAATCCCATTACGGCTATCATCACCTGAGGCGTAGGCAGCGTCATCTGTTGATATGGCCTCGAATCCGGACTCACAGTCTGTTTCTCCGAGTACGTCTGCCTCTTAAGGTTGCCATCCCGAGATTATTGATACGTGAAGTGGCCGCTGGGCCACGCACTAGGAAGCCATGTAAGGAATGCAGAAAACGCAAGGCCAAATGCGACGGTCACCAGCCATGCAGTCGATGCGCGGCTTGTGGAATAGAGTGCGTCTACATTGACGGCAAAAGGGAGACTATGGAAAGGTGCGTTCGCATTCATGGTGCGCTGAGAAATTACAGTGACCGATAAATCTCAGGAGATACCAAGTTCTTGAAAGTCAGGTTCAGGTGTACGAGAAACTCCTGCGCCGGGTACAATTTCGAGTCACGCCGGAGGACGGGGACCTTATCGCTCGGACTCTTGCCCATGTATGCCACCTTCTGATTGACTACTTATGAACATTGGGCTCTATTAACATACTTTTAACTACAGCGAGACATCTGATGTGAAGGACACTGTTACAGGCCATGGGCAGTCCCCAGAAATAGGGGATGGAGCCGTTTGCGCAATAGAGTGTGTACAGGAGGACCTACGTAGTAGCAAAACTCTACAGCCCATTGTATTTATTGGCGGACCTTCTGAGCTGTCCTGGATTCAGGATATGAACCAGGAGGTCGAGAAAAACACAATTTTCTCGGAAGGAATCTCTCCGAATGGAGCTCCCAGTAATGACTCAGAAGTTCTGAGTAGGGTGAGTTATTTCCTGGATGATCAGGAGCTGGCCATGTATGGAAACATTGATCTTCAGATCCAGCCACCTCAAGATGTTGCGGAGCGACTGCTTTGCCTATATTTTCAGACTGTGCATCCTTCGTTTCCCATCATCAGCAAACTGTCCTTTACGCAGCAGGTGGGCAGATATTACGCCGAGCCCAATTTAAGTCCGCCGAAGAAATGGCTCGCATTTTTAAATTTGGTTTTTGCTGCCGCTGCCAAGTTTGCGCATTTGGTACCTCAACATTTGGTGCAATCCATAGATAGCCCGACGGAGTATTTCTCCCGGGCTCGGCAACTCGCTACCGCAGAGAATCCATTAATTGAACATCCCAATCTCCAGCAGGTACAAATCGAAGGCCTCACTGCGTTTCTGTGTATGGCGTCCGGCCATATTAATAGGTGCGATAGCAGCTTCCCTTACCCTTGCTTGTCTTTTCTTTCCTCTTCCCTCTCTTATTTTGCCTCGGTTCGTAAAAAGCCCCCACCTTCTCACCGAATTGCAGATCCTGGAGAGTGTGTGGCATTGCAATAAGGTCTTCCATTGCTATGGGAATAAATTTGCGGAATCAGAGTAAAGAGATATCCAATACGTCTAGAGAGATCCGATACCGTGTTTGGTGGTCACTCTATACACTGGAAAACACGCTTTCAGTCATGACTGGCCGGCCTACCGGAACTTCAGATAGGTTCTGTATGACACCTTTGCCAATACCTTTCGAAGAAGAGCAATTCCATCGAGATCCTGCTGCCAGACTCTTAGCAGATTCGGAGTTTCGTGCTGAGTATATGCGGGACTTTACATTCTTCGGATGCACCCCTGCGAACTCGCCTCCAAATACCGACAAAATTGGCGGCCGAAGGCCTGGCTCCAAACTTCAAGATATTATCCCTAATACTTCTCGGTATTTTCTCTATTTTGTCGAGCTGACCAAGATCATGCGTCAAGCAGTTGATTCCTTGTACAGTCCAGAATTCGCGAGACGTCCTTGGCTTACTATCTATGCGGCCATGATAGACCTGGTGCACGAAACAGACGACTGGCTTTCCAGTCTAGCTGAAGCCTTTAGCTTCAAGGATCATCAAGGATCAGGCCATTTTAACAGGCGGAGGTGGAGCCTTGCCGTCAGACTTCATAGTGTGAGGATCACAATATGTCGTCCCTCCCTTTGTCGGTCGGGAAGGCACAGACAAGGCACCGAGCCTTCCAAGGATCTCCAACAAACTGCAGATATATGTATTGATTCAGCTTGCCAGATTCTGGACCTCCTGCCTGATAACCCTGACGGTATCTGGTTGGCCCAGGTGTCTCCATGGTGGTGTGTCCTACACTACCTCATGCAGTCAGCAACCATACTGCTGATAGAGCTGGGCTAT